GTCAGTCAGTCAGTCAGTCTGTCTGTCTGTCTGTCTGTCTGTCTGTCAGAGAGTGAGTGAGTGAGTGAGTGAGTCAGTCAGTCTGTATGTCTGTCAATCAGTGAGTCAGTCAGTCTGTCTGTTTGTCAGTCAGTGAGTCAGTCAGTCTGTCTGTCTGTCATTCTGACTTTGCATAAATGTGCATATAATCATTGATACATTTATAATTATAATAAAGAATTCTATGAATAAATATGTATATGAAATATTGAATAAATTATGTTTATGTTAAGTTTATGGGAAGATAAAAATAATGCTCACTAGATTATAGAGCAGATCCATTGTGCTTGAATCCTTCTGTCTGTTACTAGTGAGTCGAACGTAGGAAAAGTTGGGGGTCAGGTTGGCCTTATTTTGACAGTTAACCCTTTCAGTTAGCATTACCCTCTCGCTTACTGGATAAGCGTTGACATTTGACTTGTGAGAGCAGACAATTTTGAGGAATCCCCTTTAGTGTAATTGTATTCAGTGTGTTCAGGTGGCAGAGTCTCTCTCTCTTTCTGTGTGTCTCGACATACTGAATGAGCCTACACATTTAAAATGGATTACAGAAGATCTGAGATAGACCACGGGACAGATTGCTCTGTCAGTCTGAGTTCTGTCTCTGACTCCCTAGCGCGCCCATACACACACATTTAAACAAGGACATCCATTGTGCACAAGTCCCACAGCGATTGGAAACTATATTCTTGAGGTCTGTGCTTTATATAGCCTTTTTTATAGTGGAAAAAAAGAAAGAAAAATACATATGGGAAACACATTCAGAATTTTTTTTCTGGTCCTCTTTCTGCTTTGAACGTTCATGCTTAATGTTGACTTGTGAGAGCAGACAATTTTGAGGAATCCCCTTTAGTGTAATTGTATTCAGTGTGTTCAGGTGGCAGAGTCTCTCTCTCTTTTTGTGTGTCTCGACATACTGAATGAGCCTACACATTTAAAATGGATTACAGAAGATCTGAGATAGACCACGGGACAGATTGCTCTGTCAGTCTGAGTTCTGTCTCTGACTCCCTAGCGCGCCCATACACACACATTTAAACAAGGACATCCATTGTGCACAAGTCCCACAGCGATTGGAAACGATATTCTTGAGGTCTGTGCTTTATATAGCCTTTTTTATAGTGGAAAAAAAAGAAAGAAAAATACATATGGGAAACACATTCAGAATTTTTTTTCTGGTCCTCTTTCTGCTTTGAACGTTCATGCTTAATGTGGTTTAGAGGTTATGGATAAAAATAGACGAGAGTAAATATTGTTGCCGAATATCTTTGAGCAGGTTTATGTTTCAGTGCTTTGTGTTGGAATTAAATTACCCTCGTGCTGTTCTTCTCTTACACCTGCCATCTCCGTCATGTAATTACTTTTAGAAGATTGAATTGTGCTTTAGTAATACTTTAAGAGGTAAACAGAGTTGCATATCCCTCTGGTTGTGGGAGGGTTATGTGGATGTGAGCATTCAAAAAGTTTGATTTGTATTCAGTACATTTCTAGTACGAGAAGAGTTAGTTAACATGAATACTCTAAAATGGGATCTATTCAAAGCGATGTACCCTAAAGGTTCTTTCAGATGTGGGTGCGCATATTCACTTTATTTGTATTAAGTGCTCATGCACAGTGTGGGAGCGAGTGTTTTGCAGTATGTTATCATATTAAACAGCGAGAGAATTTCAATGCGAGTCTGGTTTCTCTTCAAGCACTTTTTTGTAGCAAGCTTACATTCTCACATCAAAAGCGTCCTCTTGGCATGAGCTGGAAGGGACCGGCGGTCTCAGAAGTCCCTCATACAAATACAAACACACACAAATATACTGTACATAAACAATATGTATACAAAGAGCTCTATACAAAGAGCTACTCATATATACTGTAGAGTGCCAATGATTGA